TTTATATAGAGGCGACCGGGAACCGGCGAGCCGGGGGGGGGGGGTGACTGGAAGTAATGCGAATGCGGTTCCCGGCCACTCCCCCAAACGGCAGAGGGCTGTAACGTAACGGGGGTAGAGTTTAGCGGGTAGCGCTTGGGGACATATATGGTGTCGCATACCATATCCCCAGGCGAATCCCACACTACCCTCTGGCAGTGGGTTTCTTCGAAATTCACATTGCACGCCAGAGGGTGTCTTTAGAAGATTCTCCACCTCCGGGGGGAGGGGGCTATCACCCCTCCCACACAAAAAACAAAAAAAAGGTTAAGGTTCAACACCAGAGGACCTCTCCCTCCCAGCATTAGTGAAAACTATGCTGGAGGGAGAGGAGCAATGGAAGGCGGTTCTCTCCTTCTGCGAGCAGGTGATGTCGCAGAAGGAGGAGGCGGAAAGAGAAAGAAGGTGGGAGACCTTAGATCCCCCCCCCCCTCCAATGGAGCGGGTCGGAATGGAGCGCCGAGGAGGAGGAGGCGTCTCGCAGCCCATTTGAGAAAGAGAAACTAGAAGAGTAACTAACACTCCCCTAGACCCAAGAGGAAAAGATGGGACGGGGAACTCGGCACCCCGCCCCTAACCAAAGATGTCCGACCTGAGAGGGGGAGGAGGGCGACAGATGAATGTTCCGTCGGCTTCTTTCTCCTCAGGTCGGAGGGGGGTTGGTGCACGGACGGGGGACCTTGTACCAATCCCGCCCCCAACAACATCGGGAGGGTGTAGGGGAGCAGTGGTGACCCTGCTTCCCCACAATAAAGAATCAACACCCTTATTAAAGGGCGGCTCGGACATCACATCGCCTGGGCAGGCAAGGACCGCAGTTTGTGGCGAGCCGGGGGGTTCGGGAAGTAATGCCACTGGGCGGTTCCCCGGACCCTCCCAATATAGCCGGAGCGGGTCACCGGTGAAGTTTTAGTGGGTATGCCTGGAAATTTCCTTCTCAGGTGACTCCCACATAACCCGTGGCTCCTCCCCCGAGGACCATGGGTATCTACAAAGGATTTCTCCACCTTAAAAAAAAAAGGTTC